GGAGGTCTCATTACGTTTTCACGCGGATGTTTACATTACATGTTGCACCAGAGGGTTGTGAGTGCGAAGCCTCAACCCTAAACCTCAAAAGCCACCTTCTTCTGTACTGTGTCTATAACTTCATCGAAGCCCTGGTGCAGACTTCGGTGGGAACCTACACCTACACAGAACTAGGCTTCCTTGAAGGACCTTGGCACTTCCGTTGTGTAGGTCCCAACCCCTACGGCCCCAAAACATCTAGAAAGAGAAATCTTAGAAGGTGCCCCCACCCTGTAGTATATAAATCGGAATAGAATGGCGCCCTAATAAAATCCTTTATAGTCACTATTACAGGGTGGGGGCAGCTTCTAAGAGAAATCACCCTACATGCCAGGCTTTTAAGGCACAGCAGCCAAAGGTTAGGCTAGGCCCCTGATATACCTTGGTGCGGGGGAAGTGCTAAACCCTCAGACCCAAAGCAGGATCAGGGGACTTCCCCCCCTACAAGAAGTCTAAGACAGACCAGAAACCACGACTGTTAGTCTGGGGGTACTGTAGGCACTGTAGAGATGTGGGGTTCAGCGCTTAGAGTCCATGGTTTAGGGTGGAGGCCATGGCATTTGCCTAAACTCTAACACCCATATCCCTGTGTCCACTGAGGCTGTCGCTTTCGAAGTTGAGGCTTTAGTTGAACCCAAACTAACCCCTGAGTTGATTGTTCGAATTTCCAAACACGCACCCCTCAGTACAGGCTTGGTCTAGGACGGTGGTTGTTGTCTTCTTGGCTGCTTTTGTTTTGGCCGGCACTGTATGTGTGAATCTCGCAGGTGCATAGGCCCTTCGAGAGTCTGGAAAGGCAGGGTGAGCTTTGTTGCCTGGAGTGCGGCAGTGTGCCATCGAGAGGCGCTTCGTTGACTTCGGCGGTTAGGGTCTGTAGCGCTTTACGAAGCGGTCGCCTAGGCTTTCCGATGAATTTAACCTAGATTTGAGGGTTGCAAAGTAGGACCCGCGCACTGTTATGTTCCTAACTGCTTGATCTGATGTACCGAAACCTTAAAACCCAAACCCCTTTATGTTCCGAACTTCGTTAGTGTAACGAGTTCGGAGGCATGATGTGGATGAGCCATGTCAAGGTCATGTTGGTATGACAGTACATCCCTGGCGAGCCCCCGCTTCTTGTCATACTGCAAGGCGTGCACTACCGAGTCCTCCACTTCCATGGCCAAAGCTCATCCTGATAAAAGGAACTCGTAGGGAAATCTGCGTAGATGAACCACCGCAGCTGCGGCAGCGCATTAAATGAAGTGGCTGCAAGGCACAGAGTCTGCTCAGGCTCGCTTCCCAAACGGCTGTTGTCCGGTTGGCTGCTCATCGCTTCTGCCTGATGTCTGATAGCCTTCCCCGCCTTGAAATGTCCATTCGCGGCCTTCGCTGAACGAACGGTACGAACAAATAAAGATGCCAACCAAACAGGTGGGCCTTAGTATTTTAAGAATTTTGGTCAGCACACAGATCGAACCACCCAGCATATATCAAGAAGCGCCACAGAAGCTACCTCTCAGTGGCTTCGGGCACTTTCACACTGAGCTGTAAACTGCTGTGAAGCCATCCAGTCGTTGACTTGGCGACTGTAGTCTGCGCTCAGCTTGCTGCCCTTCAACTGCAATTGTGATTACGGGCTGCTTGTGACATTAAATTCAAGGCTTTGGCCTCCAGCTACAGGTCTTGCACACGTGGTTTGGGGTTCAGGGTTCGATATGTATGTAGGGTTGAGCTGTGAAAGGGAGCTCTGCAGCGAGATCCACCACGCGGCACAGCAAGAGTTTCTTGAAGGCACTTGGCGTGTCAGAACAGACTTTGTAGTCATACTGATGTCCACCGTCCTACCACTAGTAGGATGCAACCAATGGATGACAACGAAGCCAATAGATCGTAGCCATAGCAAATAGAGAGAGCCTCACAGACGAAGTAACAGAAACCAACACCATGAAACTCTGGCATCCCGGAAAAGCCATCATCACAGTGGATGAGGCAAAAACTGTGGCGGATCGCATGGAAATCCGGGAACGGCGTACGATTCATGTCGTCACAGTCACGTGGCCTCGGCGCAGTGATTCTGTGCCTTAGAACTCCATGGTGTCTGCTTGGTTGACGTCTGCCTCCCAATCCACCACCGCCATGGCCCTCTTGGGCCTTGTCCCTCTGCCCTTCGCCGGCTCCCAGTCCACTTCCATCACGGAGGACGTCCTCTCGGCTTTCGTTGCACTGTTGGCCTTGGTCACCAAACTGCACCGAGCAGGTGATCCGCAATCCTTGCAAGAAGTCAAGGAGGTGGTCGTGCTGGCGCCAGAGCCCATGGCTTCAAGAGCTCAAGAACTACCCGGATTCCACGCTGCCTCCTGGGAGTCTGCCAAAATGGCTCGTTTCGGCGAGTGCAAGAGAGCCTTCGAGACATATCAAACATCCTGAACAACAGTGAAGACTCAAACACAAACCAGCTTACATAATATCGGCTCTAAGAGTTGCTTCGGACAGAACTGCCAAGCTGTCATTTCACTGGTATGTATCAGGCTCTGCAGAATCTGCACTTCATCCAACAACCGCCATCATCTCGCCGCTTACGTGAAGTCCCGACGACTGCCAACCAGCGAACGATGCAATCGCTTGATCAACAAACCTCTACACCCCAAACGTCCCTCAACCCTATCAACGGAACCCCTTCTGTCTTGCTCTGCCCGGGGGGCCGGAAAAGTTCGGATGACACGTGATAGGCACCCAGTTACGTTCCGAAAGGTACAAACTGGTCCCCAACGGTCCTAAACGGACACCCTTCATACGGGTGGTTGAAAATTATGCTCCCTTTTTTGGGTCCCCAACCAGGACGGCACCAATTATTTAGGGTACCCAAAAAGGGACCCTAATTTTGACAACTACCCGTATGTAGATCAGGCTGCAAGGCCAAGACCCTGCCTACTGGCACAGGACGAACTCACGGCGGCGGGCCTTTCGAGCAGTGCAAAGCGGTTTTGTTGAGGTATTTCCGGTTTTAAGGAGTTCCAAAGGGGCTTTGCAGGGCTTTCTAAGGGCGTACAGCAAAGGTTGTTTAAGAAGCTTTACAACTGACTTACACGCGGCCAGAAGGCTCAAAGGCCGTAAACCCTAAACCAAGCTGTTTATCAACATCACTCGGGATTCAAGGTTTGCAGACTTACAAGGCGACGAGGGGCGATAGGATTTAAGGATTTCGGGCTTTGGAGCCTTAGGTGGGTGCGGTGAGGGCTTTAGAGTTTCATGGGATTTCTGCCTCTGTGTTCAATCGCTGAGGTTTAACGTTGTAAACGGTAGTCTGGGTGACGAGGTTTAGCTTATTTGCACGCGTCTTGCCGCAAATGGCTTTAGATTCAGGTTCTTCGGTTTGGGGTTTCGGGTTTAAGCATTTGGGGTTGTAGCATTTCGGGCTTAGAGTGGCTCTTAGTGTGTCGGACTCTTGGGAGATTCCGGGTTTAGGATCAGCTTGTCAGAGCAGGTTGGGGACGGATGGCTTCACGATCCGAAATGCTAGAATCTAGAACCCTTGCTTTTACATTCCACATGTAGCTCCATGGTTCATAACTGCCAATGTCACCAGTTCAACACCAAGGCTGCAGGTTGCAGGAGATTTGCAGGAGTAGTGGACTAGCTGCTGGCGAGCTTTCAGCCCTCAACGTTCTGAGATTTCTCCTCCGAGAGATTCCAACTTGCTTCTTGGGCAATTTCCTCGGAGAACTACAGGTTAACCCCTTGGGTTCATATAATACAGGGATTGTGGTGCCTCACAGAAGTTCAAGGTTACCTACTCTACTACTAGGCATGTATTCCAAACACAGTGCATGCCTCCATGCGCGGCCATGGAGATCGGCACGTTGGTGTCAGAAGAAGTCTGGACCTGCCTGAGCTGCTGCAGTCGAGACGGTCGCATAGCGCTGACTTGCAGACACTGCCTCAGAGGGGTTCCACGTATGATACGACCTAGTGGAATACAACAGATACAAGTACTTTACAGGGTCAGTCCATGCACTGCTTCAGAATTTCAAGTTCACATGATCTATGACCTGAAATACTAGGGAACAACCGATGCGTAAGGGAACGCAGAGGACAGGACAGGAGCCCCTGCGCGGTGAAGAAGAGTGATGCACCAAAGCATGCAATTTTTGTACGTCTCGCATCTGAAACAGCAGCTGCGCCTACAATCGCCGGCGCCACCGCGGAATCGATGCAAGTCAGGCCCGGGGACCAATGCAAGCGAATGCGAGTGTGCGAGTCGCCATAGCTATTTCTTTATCGATGTCGTCATCAACATCAGACCTCTCCCAATAGACACGAGCCCTGGGAAGCCCAAAAGGCATACTGTCAATATAGGGGCCTCAACAATCAGACTACGTTTTCGAGGTATAAGATCGTAAAATGAGAACATACCTTACTCGGAAGAGCGATAGTATTTTAGTCAGGCTTGCGCCGTTAAACCAATGGCGCCGCTGATATCTGGAGAGTGATCCTGCTATGGCCAGCCTCCGACCTTGCAATCGCCAGGGCGGAAAAGGAGTGTGGCCACGCAGTTTTTTCGACATGCCGAGAAGCAACTTAGTATAAGAGCCTGAACAATTACCAACAACATTTATTAAATTTCCTTATGGCTCCGTACTGTAATTAGAGAATAAGAAACTTCATAAGGATACAATACACACGATTAGGTCACGCTCCAGTGCTGGCGTTGAGCAAAACCTGCAGTTGAATTGCCTGAGAAGGTGCCAGCCTTCTTCTGTACAGTTGAACTTTGCCTGGAGGAGCTTGTCGGGAGTAGCTGCAAAATGCAGCAGCTCGAGTCCTGATGCCCAGACTCAGCTTATGGATAGTTTCCGTACCGCTGATTGTTTCCGTCCCTGCCAGGATCCGTAATGCGGTGCATTCGGCCACCCTTCCTGTTTCTTGGATCGTACCTGTCTTTATCCCTGTATTCTTTGACTTCAGGAATAACCGACAGCCGCGTTTTGGGCCTCCGGTCTCTCGGAGGCCTTTCGTTCTCCTCCGGAAACCACCAGGACAAACTGTCACGGCTTGAACTTGATCGCTCTTTGGGCGTCTGGGTCCTGGTAGCCCCATGCGTGGGAAAGCGCTCCTGCCATGCCCCTTCTGCAAGCTTCAAGAGTTGATTTCTGCTCACATCACGCAGTTCTTTGGGCAGTTGGGGTTTGCGAACTTCGGGCAATATCTGGGTCTTCAGGAGGTCTTTCAGGGCTTCGAAGGCCAGCTCCGCAGCCTCGGCCGTAGCCTTTTGAACTTGGTCCGTGCTTTTGTTGCTGCATAATGACATACGAACCTGATCGTCATCGCCGGAAGTGAAACCTGGCCGGTCCACCACTGGCGCAATCTGAAGATTTCCGATGGCCTCGGAAGCTGCCACACGGAAATCGTGCCGAAGCTTGGCCTTTTTGGCGGCCACGCTCTCCAACTTCACGAAGTTCTCGACTTTGTCCCGCTTCTTGTTGTATGTCACCCTGATCTCCTTCAGCACCCGGACGAAGAACTTCACAATCTCATCTGCGAACACGGTGCTTTTTCTCGTGCTCGTAAGCCTGACAATGAGTATACCTGGCAAAGCAAAGCTAAGGCGTGTGTCCACGCCCGCCAAGCGGTTGTCGATCGTCGCCACCGATTCCATAACGGCCTCAGACTCGGAATTGGAGCCCAAGGCGCAGTTGAGCTCGTCAAAGCCCGCCAAGCTGTCGTCGATCGTCGCCACCACCGATTCCATCTCGGCATTCCCGTCCTCGGAGGCCTCAGACTCGGAGGCCTCGGACTCGGAATCGGGGGAGGTGCCTTTGAGGGGAACCTTGAAATTGAAGAGCTTGAACCGACACTTGCGCGCAGCCTTTCCCTGAGGGTGGCAGCTGGTGCGGGGCGAGTGCCCAGTGCTTCTAGTTTGCCTGGTGGCCAGGGATGACCCGGCATTACTTTGACAGTCCCCTTCTGAAAGAGATGCAGGCCTCTGGAATACGACTGTCTCCGGAAGGAATATGGGCTTGTGAGCTCTCGAGGGTTTCCGAATGTACTGCAAACATCCCATCACGAGTTCTGCATGCTCAGGTGAGTAAACGATCAGCCCTTTCTTCAACCGTTTGATCTCGTCGTCCAAGCTTTCCATATGAAGCAACAAGCTCTGCGTATCTTCCCTCGAGAGCAGCAGGATGGCTCCTTTGGCATACTTCGGCCTCACCGTGTTTCTGAATGTCAAGTTCATGCCCCTGGCGATATTCAGGATCGACCGGTGCTGGTCTGGGAGGCCTTCTTCCAAGCTGAGAGCCTTCTGATCGAGCACATCCCGTGCATTCCTGATCACCTGTCGAACCTCTTCGTCCTCGGTCTTTGCTTCTTCACTCCACATCTTCACCGAGACAGCTCGGAGTCTTTCCAAGTCCTCGATGGCGGGGAGCCCGAAAGCCTCCAACAGGTCTCTGAAGTTCCCTTTGGCTTCGATTCTTTTCAACATGGCGCCACTAGTGATCGGACAAACGTGTTGGGATCTTGGGCCAAAACAGATCAAGAATATCATGCCAGCGATGTCTGGACAGTGGTCGCTTACAACACTTCAACCACTGGTAGACCATCGAATCTAATGAACTAGTGCGGAGGCATTTTGCCGCTCAAGCTCCACCTTCGCCCGAAGCACTCTTGACATGTTTTGTGCAATTAACTCGTCCGAGGCACTGGCCAAGCCGATCAATCTGAAGTATATAATAGCCCTGTTTGCCCCTGTCCTCTGCCGGAGCTCGAATCCCGAAAGCCCCGCTCAAGCCAAGTCCTTGCCAAGTCGCCGGAGCCGTGTGGGCTGTTTGGGACCAGAATCAGCTGCTGTTGCCACCTGCCTGGCCCGGTCTGGGGGTTTCGATGCTCACACGGTCTGGGGGTTTTAGGGCTTCTGGCTTGGAATCACGCTCCAGACTTCCCGAAAATAGGGGACCCCAGTACCCTGCATACTAGGATTCTTATTATAAGGAGCCCCAAATAAGGCACCCCTAATTTTTGGAAACTCCCATCTCTGGAATCTGAATGCCTGAAGCCAGGAACAAAGGCCGGCAGCTTCAGAGCTGAAGGCTCAACGAGCTCGAGGCTCTTGAAACCAACCTAACAAGCCGACCAAGGCTCCTAGCAGTGTCCTGCTTTTAGGGTTTAGGGCTTACAGGGTTTAGGGTTTAGGTGTTTAGGGCATATAGGGCTTAGGGTTTATAGGGTTTAGGGTTTATGGCTATATAAGAAACAGTTTGTTGCTTCAATATAGAACGGCAAGTGATCATCCTTGACACTTGGATGTGTCTCAAACGGGGGTCCACCCAATCATTCTAATCCTGATCCTTTACCCAAAAACACAGACATAATTTTGAGAGTCCTTGCACGTGCTGGCAAGACTTTCAGCCAGCGAGCAGCGAGCATCTTCCGCAAGCAAATCGTCAAACATTGCAGGCACGCGGCTGCTGGGCTTCCACGCTGCTGACTTGTTATCATGTGGCAACTTATTACATAGAGGTCGTAACAATGAGAATAGGGTTTTGGGTCCCATTCTACTATAACTATCATAAGGACCCCCCCAACATAGTATTGGTGATTACTGAGGCCCTTGAATTGCATCATGCGCGGTTCTGGCCGCTGCCACAGCCGATCACAACCCTTCTGGAATGAAAACCGAACATATTCAGTATCAACCGAAGATGCTATCTGCTAACTTCACGGAGAATGTGAATAATATGCCAAGACAGGGTCTACAAAAAAAGACAAAAGAAGGAGTGTCTGTTGCACGGTTTTAGAATCGTTCGAAGGCTTGCGGGAGGGGGGGGGGGTTGCACAAAGTAGTGACTCAAGGGTTTGCGTCGGACTGCAGTTAGTGATTGCGTGCTTCGTGCGGGAGAAGTACTCACGAAGGCCCGCAAAGTTTGCCAGACCCTAAGAGCAACAACAACCACAATAAGCTCCAGCTCAAAGCCCATGAACGCTACAAAACTGAAGTCCGCAGCTTCCGGAATTGCACCCCCGGAGCGGCTGCTCTTCGAAGACATCGAAAACGTATGCCCGATTCTCCCTAGGGCGCAGCCTGAGATTCAAGACTAGATTCAGGAAATGTGCACATCCTAACTTATCCACGCTGAACCTTGAACCCTAGAATGCTGCAGCATCCCACGCCCTACTGAGAATCAAGGCCTGTATCGTGAATTTGCAGCCGGTGACCACAAATGTAGCTAGGAGGTTCCGACCGCTACCACTTGGCAAGGATCTCTGCAATGCACAATGGGGTGTTGCACACAATCAGTTGCTGGCTGAAGCTACTGCAAAGAAAAAGGATGGATTACCGTGCTGCACGTGCTCCAAAGCACTCAACCGGGTCTCACTGATAGCAGTCGCCGCGTTCCTCCGCTTGTTCTTGAGCAAGCTCGTCAGGAAAAATTTAGGCTAGCCAAGGGTTCAGAATTAAGGGGCCTACGGTTGGGGGCCAAGAGTTCGAAAAGACTTGCTTGGGACTTCTCAACACATGTGCTGCTAAATCCTAAGCCCTTGACCAAGATTTCAACAAGCTTCATACTAAGTTCCGGCATCATCCGAAATGCCCGATATCTTGAGAATTATGGTACTGTGAAATACCAAGGAAGCAAGAATCCTACTGTGTCCTGGGTCACGCGAGAAGCAGCGCCCCGACACGCCAAACCCGAAGCCATAACCGCTACAGTGGCATACGGAAACCGTAGAGAGAGTGGCATCTAGGACTCGGTCGCCCGCTCCCCCCGACCTACCAGGCTCGACAAGAATCTCGAAGGCCGGAGTCCTAGAAACCAGTAGCAGGCCGCTTCTGATAACCCCTCGCGGGTTCGGATGCCCCCCCCCCCCCCTGTTGGTACTTGCAGCACCCTGCCCCTGCTCCCTACGCCAAATGCTCGGGCTATGGACGCACTCCCTCCCGTCTCTGAAGCCAGGAGCTCTTGCGGTTCCTTGCACCCCACCACAAGTATAGAAGTTTCCCAAACATGACAGCATGAGCCCATTGTAACCATTTAGAATCCTTGTCTTTCTCGGGCATGCAGGTGGCAGGGGGCGGGTTCATGCCTGCAACTACGAAAACAATAGCAGCATAATCCCTTCATTCCCTACATAATATTCATGTCCTCCTCCAACCGGGCACCTGTAAATCTCTCCAGAGGTAGCTTACGAACCATTCTGTAACTTGGGCTTTGCGCCACCTAGCCTTGAACCCTGTCACCCACTTTCTAATCTCAGGCTTCGTCATTGTGAGTTTTGCATGTTATTTTGAATTTGATTCTCCATGATTGGGCTATTGTCCCCTAACCCCTACACTCCCTAAACCCCCTAAGTGCTGAGTCTCAGCTCTCCTGGCCAACCCTCAAAAGTTACCTTGCATTACACTCTCTCCCCGACAGACTCGGCCCCGCACTGCGATGGTGAAGTCCGCCCGGCCCTGTGCAAGGGTTAGGAATCTTCAGCTTACAGGGGGCTAAGAAGATTAGTGGGGTCCCCCGCGTAAGACTGTTTGATTTAGTTGGGAATTCTGCCATATCAAAAGCTCCCATTCTTGGCACCTGCTTTTCGAGTCCGAACGTCTACGAAACTCGACTTGTGGTTACGTGGTAGGTCTTTCTTGATACCTAGGAACCCTCAGTGTGCGTGTAAGACCCGGAAACCCTGAAGGTTTTGCGAGCTCTTGTGACATAGCAGCTTGTTCAGAAAGTCTGCGTGTAGCCTGGATGTTGCTGCCGACATGTTTGGATGGCTCAACCGTGGACTACGACGTGCCCCTTGAGCTGGTTGATGCTCGAAGCTATGTAGCATGTTCGCACCTTGTACAACTTAGAACATAGCAAAAATCAACGCTTTTACCTTGTGCCGCCAGTGTGAAAAATTCGGTGCCGAGCTTGCCACGGACCATGCTCCTGAACCCGACTACAACACGGCTTTACCTGAAGCCCCGGAAGCCAGTGCCCATCAACAGGGTATGAGCCCGAATGCCGCTGAGACCGCGCTTACCGCGCCTGAGGGGACAACAACAGCCCTGGTTGCTGCAAGAACTTCCATCCAGGTTATCATACGCTATTTATTTTGCAGCTTTCCAGCTTGGCCTTTGGGGTTTGTGTTCGGCTGTCGGCTCCTGCAGGGCCGGTTTTACGCTCATGCTTTGCTTTAACCCGATTCTTCGACTCCATGCTCTAAGAATTGAGGCCGCTACCTTCGCCGCTAAAGCCCAAGCCCGGAAACGCCCCTGACCTCCAAAACTTCCGAGAGAATTAACAAGGGTGTGGTGCGTAGCTAAGCTATACAAGTCGTCAGTACAGATTTGCAAACATAGTTGCGATTATGGTTATAGTCTAAGTTATAGCTGTGATTGCTATTATTATGCTGACGGTAATGAACAAAAGCATTGCTAGAGCTGCTAGTGCTGATTTAGTTATCGTCATGATTATGAGGTTCACCGTCTACCCTACGCTGAACCTCAATGCAACCAGGCAGCCACCATGGTTACCATGGCGCCGTCACGAAAAAATGGAGCAGCGCGTGCCTTTGGGGGTTAAGGCTATGGGCACAGAGTTTGGGGTCTCTACAGCTTTTGCCTCAGCAAACCCCCCAACACCTCTGGAACCATTTTCAGAAACTGCCCAAACGAAACCTAGATGTTGAAGTCTACCCCTCCCGAGAAGGAGCCCTTAGTTCCTAACCCCTAAACATCGAGAAACTAGCAACACACAAACGCCTAACCCATCGCTTCAGCTCCCAAACCTTGAAGCCTAGACCCTCAAACCCAGACCCTCAAACCGTCAACCCTCCACCTCGAGCCGGAACCCTTCTGAGCACCCCACTTTTCCAGGACTGTCAGCAGCAAGTTGACAGTCTCTGGGGCACCTAAACGGTTAGAAGACGGTTTGCACGGTTTGGCAGGGTTGAGTGATGAAAGACTTCGGGCTTGGATGTAGGTTCTCTCACTTTAGAGGACGTCGCAGTCGATTCGCTAGGATTTCAGACGAGCGCCACTATAGTCAAGCAGAAGCTCTAGCCTATTCAGAAGGATGCTTCTGGCTTCAATCATGATCAAAAAAGGACAACTGCTGAAGGATTTCAAAAGGATATGGTGGTTTTGGGGGCTAACTGAATCTAGTTGGGGAATTTGCAGAGTGTCATGTGCATATTTCGAGTCTCTAGGTTGGTTCAGAGGGTAACGACTCCTGGGTGGTTCTGTGAAGGCCCCAAAAAATCTCTTAACACGACCCTTTAATTAACAGTAGCGGATGAATCACCATCCGAAAGTGCCACCCGATAAACCCCAAACCCTCAACACAGTATACACCCCTAAGCCCTGAACAATCTAAACCCGGTTCATAGAATATGTGTGTACTGCTCCCACCAAGTAACGGTCTATTGTGAAGGTAATGTTAGGGCTGAGGGGCTGTACACCTTTTCATCAGATATACATATTATCGGTACTGGGTGGGGGCAGTA